ATGATGAAAATGAGGCAACAAAACACATGCAAACATGCAAGATGCAAGGGCCCAAAGCCTAGGGCACAAGATACAACTGTATGAAAGCATGGAACTGATAAAATATGGTATACAACAACACATGTTCCAGCTCTGAAATGACATACAAAATGGTCCCGAATCATGCAAACACTCATGTTATGCATGTTGAATGACTCAAATACCGAAACTAGTGAAGTGCATTACACTAGAGGTATGCAAAGAAATGCCCAAATGAGAAAACCAACCCCAAATAGTCCCTATGCAGGCCCAAAACAGTGGCAAAATGGACTAAGATGATGGCTTGAAATACACAAAAATAAAACTCATGCAATGGCCCATAAATGAGCTATGCAAGCACAACTCTCAAACGCATTTAAAGAGTGGAAAACATGGGAATATGGCACAAGTATAGGCTCTGAAATAACATGCTCAATGATGCCAAGACATGGAAACACCTCAAGTTAAGCATGTAAGGGGCTCCAAAACTCAAGGCTAGGCAAGGATATTACACTACAAGTATGCATGGCAAGCATCATTCGACCAAGAGGCCTCAAAACAGAGCTAAGGCAGCCCAAAATATGAACAAAATTAGTTTGAGGTATGGCCAAAATATGCTAGAATCAATGGCCAAAACAATATGCAATGTAAGTTAGTGAGCATGGTTTACACTACAAGCATGTGAAGCATTCAAGAGGCCACTAAACCAGCGAAAGAAAAGGCTATGATATGCCAAAGAATGACCAAAAACCCACTGAAATATGACCAATACATGCAAGAATGACATGCTCCTTTGATAAGCTATGAAGAGGATTATTCTACACATGCAAAAGGCAAACATGAGGTGACCAAACCAGCCCTAGACAGAGATATGATATTCCAAATAATGATCAAAACCCCACTGAAACATGACCAATACATGCAAGAATGACATGCTCCTTTGATAAGCCATGAAGATGATTATTCTACACAAACAAGAGGCAAACATGAGGTGACCAAACCAGCCCTAGAAAGAGTTTAGGCAGGTCCTAAAAGTCACTAAAAATGGCCTGAACCAAGTCTAGGAAGTATGAAAATATAGGCTCCTTGGAAAGGCCAAATATGCAAACAAATAAGGCCAAAAGAGAGAGGGTCACCCCTCTCTGATTTTGGCCCTCAAAACAGCATACCAACCACTAAAAATCCACTGGATTTTAGTGGCTAAAAGGCCAAGCAAAGGTCAACGCAAAGGCCTTAAGGCATGGCTCAAAACAAGACTAAATGCAGCATGCAAGAGGGTAGATGACCTCCAACAGGAAAATGGCCTTAAACAAACATGAATAATGCTTAAAAATAAATCTTTTTTCAGTTGACAACAAACCTCAAATAAGCATGCAAATGAGGCTAAGAGAAGGATCAAAATAATGCTTAAAAAGGGAGAAAATGAGTTACCCTTGAAGCTTAACAAAGACAACAACTTCTGGACCAAAAACCCAGCACCCTAACCTCTGAAAATGACCTCCAAGAACTTCAGGTTGATGGCGGAAGTGTTAGGCCATGAGCTGTGGTGCAAAAGGGTCAAGAACAATACACTTCCTAAGCCTAAATATAGAGACAAAGAGAGATATATGTGTATGTGCCTTAACCAAGATCTGAACCCTCACAAAGGAGGGGGAGGCCTTCCTTTATAGACAAAGGAGGCCAAAGCTTCTCAAAGAAGCTAAAAAGCAAGGCCAAAGATCCTCCATACACGTGTATGGAGGATGCAGTCTGTGCCTTTCAGCTGGCACAGCTGGCAACAACTCACAGAGACAAAACTGGAGGGAGCAGACCGACCAGTTAAGGTGGTCAGCCGACCACTTCCCCTGGTCGGCTAACCAGGGTGAGTGGTCTCCCTCAAGGAAAAGTGGTCAGCTAGCCCATTTGATGGTCTCCCAACTAAATGCAAGCTAATGATATGGTGGGAGACCAGTAAATGTGGCTCAAAAATCAAGGAGACCAGTTTCCCGACAAGAAAATCGACTGGTGGAGAGAGAAGTGGTCTCCAAAAGAAAAGTTGGTCTCCCACCCCTGTACCACCTTCCAAACAATGAAAACAAGGTTCATGTCAAAAATGAACCAACACCGATGCAAAACGAGGGTTCGGGGGGCAAAACGTGCGGCCGGGTGCCCCGAAAACAGGCTGTTAAGCACCAAAAGTGGCATGCGACCACAAAGGTGGTCTCCCGGGCCACAGTGTCCCTCTAGACAGAGGAAACAAGGTGTGTGCCAAAAATCGTGCCAAACAGAGAATGTTAAGCGATCCCGAACCGAGGCGCGCGGCCGACGGCTCTGAAAAACGGAAACTGGTCTCCAAACGGGAACAGTGGCCTGCGACTATGAAAGTAGCCTACGGCCACTGAGAGATGGTCTACAAGACTTTTCCCTCCCTCTGGGAAGAGAAAACAAGACTTAGTCCGCAGACCGAGTCAAAGCACAAAAAGCTCCGAGGCTCGGAGGGTAATGCTCTCAGCCAAAACTTCGAAACTTCAGAACGAGCACAACATGCACCATCACCGAGCGCTCAATCGATGACGTCTGAGTCTTAAGGTCGGTCAAAAATGGGGTGTTTACAGGTTTTTAAAGAGAAAATATTTTTTAGGGGCTTCACAACCTATGCCCTTTAAAACAATTTCGTCCCCGAAATTCAACTACATACTGCCTTCGAAAAGTTCGGGGTAGTTTGCCTTCACCCAATCCTGGCGTTCCCAAGTAGATTCCTCAATTCCCCGATGACGCCATAACACTTTTACCAAGTGAACTGTTTTGCCTCTAAGGTTCTTCTCTCGGCTATCCTGTATTGCTATCGGTCCTTCTTTAAATGTAACATCTTTGTCAAGACTGATTTCTTCCCATTTGAGGATGTGTGATGAGTCGGCGATGTATTTTCTCAACATAGATACATGGAAGACATCGTGTATCCCTGCTAACTGTGGAGGTAGAGCTAGTCTCACTACTAGAAAAAACACTTTCCGTGACGAACATGTTTGGTCGCGAAAAGTACCATATTTGGTCGCTAAAACCTTTTCGCGACCAAAATATGTTGGTCGCGAGTTGGTCGCTAAAGCCTCATCACAGATAGTTTTCTGCGACCAAAAAAGCCTTTGGTCGCTAAAAGTGACCATTCGCGACCAACTTTTTGGGTTGCGAAAAGTCCAATTCATATTAGCCAAAAGTAAACTTTTAGCGACCAAAGATAAGTTGGTCGCCAAAAGTCAGCGCCTTGACCCAAAAAAAGTAATTCTTTTGTGCTCCCTAGGACTTGAACTCCTGACCAAGGAGTCACCATGCACCCAATCCATTCTGCCACTCTGCCAATAACATACTTCTTGTTCATATTTGACAAAAAAAATATATAACCCATAAAAATTGGGTTATATATTATTTTATAAAACTTTTAATGCCTAAATAGAAAAATAGCATGTAATTACTGTAGTATCATTTTTTTTTAAAATTTATCCCGCCATAACTTTCCGCGACAAACTTTTTTTTTGGTCACCAAAGGGTAATCTTCCGCGACCAAAAAAGCCTTTGGTCGCCAATAGGTATATTTTCCGTGACCAACTTTTTTTTGGTCGCCAAAAGGTGATCTTCCGCGACCAAAAAAGCCTTTGGTCACCAATAGTATACTTTCCGCGACCAACTTTTTTTTTTGGTCGCCAAAGGGTATACTTTCAACGACCAAAAAAGGCTTTAGTCGCCAATAGGTATACTTTCTGCGATCAACTTTTTTTTGGTCGCCAAAGGGTATACTTTCAACGACCAAAAAAGGCTTTAGTCGCCAATAGGTATACTTTCTGCGATCAACTTTTTTTTGGTCGCCAAAGGGTATACTTTCAACGACCAAAAAAGGCTTTAGTCGCCAATAGGTAGTGATTTTCCGCGACCAAAAAATTGTGGTCGCCAAAAGTTAAATTTTAGTCGCAGAAAGTGGACTATTTGCGACCAAAAAAAAAAGGTGGTCGCCAAAAGTGTTTTTTCTTGTAGTGTCTATACTCTACTTCGCCCACTCTTTCTAATACCTTAAAAGGCCCAATATATTGTGGTGACAGCTTTCCCTTTTTCCCGAAACGTACGACTCCACGCCTAGGTTGCACCTTTAGGAACACGTGGCTGCCTACTTCAAACATCAATGGCCTCCTTCTCCTATCTGCATAACGCTTTTGACGGTCTTGAGTAGTCTTTAACTGTTGTCGTATCAATTTGACCTTCTCAGTAGTTTCTAGAACAAGTTCGAGTCCTATCAGATTTGCATCACCCACTTCTGCCCAACAAATCGGCGATCTACAAGGTTGTCCATATAATGCTTCAAAGGGCGCCATACCGATGCTAGCTTGAAAGCTATTATTATAGGTGAATTTAATTAGGGGTAGGTGTCGTTCCCAACTTCCTTGAAAATCTATTGCGCAAGCTCTCAACATATCTTCGAGTGTCTGGATGGTGCGTTCAAATTGTCCATCTGTTTGCAGGTGAAAGGCGGTGCTAAAACACAACTCCGTACCTAGAGCTTCCTGCAGGCTTTCCCAAAATTGAGAGGTGAACCATGAATCACGATCTGACACAATAGACACCGGAATTCCATGTAGTCGAATGATCTCCCTGATGTAAAGCCTACACATAGACTCTAAAGTGTCAGTCATCTTATAGGGTAAGAAATGTGCTGACTTGGTAAGGCGATCCACTATTACCGATATAGCATCGCATCCTTTAGATGACTTAGGCAACCTTGTCACAAAATCCATCATCACAAACTCCCACTTCCATTTGGCTATTGATAGAGGTTGCAACATTCCCCCTAGTTTCTGATGTTTTGCCTTCACTTGTTGGCATGTCAGACATTTCGCTACAAATTTAGCCACTTCCTTCTTCATTCCATTCCACCAATACTGCCTCTTCAAATCTTGGTACGTTTTAGTCCCTCCTGGATGTACCGCAAATGCAGAATGATGACATTCCTTAAGTACCTTTTCTCTAAGCAGCTTGTCACTTGGTACAAACAATCTACCTTGGTAGCTTAAACTCCCATCAGGGTGAATTACCCAATTGAGCATGGGTTCTCCTGATTCCAGATGTCCCTTGATATAGGCTACCTCTTTATCGTGCTTCTGGGCCTCCATGATCTCATTCATCAACTTAGGCATCACCTTCTGTGCACTAAGATATGCTTTTGTATCTTGAGATTCTATTTGGATCCTAAATTCATTGAGTGTCTTAACCATATCCCATTCTTTGACGAAAATTTTAGCCATCATCCCCCTGCTCTTGTGACTGAGAGCATCTGCTACTACATTGGCTTTACCGGGATGATATGAGAGAGTGAACTGAAATCCTCAAGATACTCCATCCATCGTCTCTGTCTCAAGTTGAGGTCCTTCTATGTAAATAGATACTTCAAACTCTTGTGATCTGTGAAAATCTCAAATTGTTCCCCATATAGGTAATGTCGCCATTGCTTGAGGGCAAAAACTACGGCCGCTAACTCCAAGTCATGTGTTGGGTAGTTACACTAAAGAGGTTTCAACTGCCTAGATCCATACGCGACTACCTTTCCATTTTGCATGAACACGCACCCTAACCCTTCTTTAGATATATCGTAATACACAGTACACCCCACTTCTCATTCTGGGATGGTCAAAATTGGCGCACTAGTTAACCTCTTCTTTAGCTCTTGGAAGGATTTTTCGCAAGCTTCGTCCCACTTATACTTTACTCCTTTTTACGTCAAACGAGTCATTGGTTTAGGCTAGTTTGGAGAAATCTTGGATGAACCTCCGGTAATAACCGGCCAACCCTAAGAAACTACGGATTTCTGACACGGTCTTCGGTTGTCTCCAACCTAATACTGTCTCCACGTTGGTTGGATCCACCGCAATCCCATTCTCCGACACTACATGCCCTAAGAATTTTACTTCATTCAACCAGAACTCACATTTGCTTGCCTTGGCATATAACCGATTATCCCTAAGAACTTGAAGGACAGTCCTTAAATGTTGCTGTAGACACCCCATTTTTGACCGTCCTCAAGACTTGGACGTCACCGTTTGAACACTCGGTGATCATCCATGTTTGTGTTCGTTTGGAGTTCCCGGAGGCCTCGGCTCGCGCGCCTTGCCTCAGGATCCCCGAACTCGGCTGTTTAGTGTCTGGTTTTGCACCAAACACTTTTGTTTTGCCTTAGAGGGGCAGGGAATGCCTTGTGAGACATCCCCATACACCACCGGCAGTGGCTGGAGGCCACCGGCTGGTCTTTTTCTTCCATCGGCAATTTTGTTTGCCGGTCGGCACACTGTATTGCCGGTCGGCATAATATGTTGCCGGTCGGCACTGTTTTTTGCCGGAATAGCTTTTTTGGGCAGCCGACCACTGTTCCTCCACTTTTTGGAGATATTTTGTGCCAGCTGTGATAGCTGGCACCAACTCCTTTCCCCTCCATACACGTGTATGGAGGGATTTCCCTCTAGCCAAGCTTGTTGAATAAGCTTTGCAAGAGGGATCCTTATAAGAGAGAGGCTTTCCTCTTGGTTCTAGGTTAGAAAAACAGAAGCAAAAACCAGCCTTTGAGATATAGATACATATTATATCTATACCTCTCTCCCTCTCCCTTCTTGTGTGTGTTTCTTGGCCCAAAAGGTGTGTTTTACCTTACATTTCAAGCCTCCACACCTATAGTTTGTTAAACACCTAGTGTTTCACCTTTCTTTGGCTCCTGAGGTTCTAAGAGGTTGGTTTTGAAGTTTTGGAGCTGGATTCAAGCCAAGGAGGGCCATTGGAGCATCATTGTTGAAGAGGACTACAAGGGTAAGAATCTTACCCCCTTTTTCCCCCATTCTTGCATTGTATTTTTACCAGTCTTAAAATCGTTTTTGAGCTTGGTGTATAATACAAAAAAGTTCTTTTTTTAGGATCTCTTGATTGTTTATTAAGGGTGTTTTGTGGTTTGGAGGTGTTTGACCCCTCCTAGGCCTTGTAAGGCCTCATTTTGTGCTATTTTGTATAAGTTTCGAGACTTTGGTGTTTGGGCCTCTTCATCACTGAAATCTTGAGGGATTTCAATGGTGAAGATGGTGCCTTGAAGTCCCAAGAAGGAGAGGGCCACCCCCTCTCCTTGTTGTCCTTGAAAAGGGCATGTTTTGGCCTCTTGAGGGAGCACCATGTTAGAGTGTGTATTGACTATGTCTTGGCTGTTTTTCATGCTTAATATGTCATAACATACCTCTTTTTTTTGTTGGTTTTGGTACTCCATGCATCCTTAGCATAGTTGCCATGTAATGCCTTGTGATCCTTTAACATGTCTTAGGTTGTGTGCCTTTGTTTTTAACATGTTTTAGGCTTACATTTGTGAAGATTTTGTGCTTATCTTGACATGTTTTAGGTCTGTCCATAAGTGTTTGGGTCGGATTTGGCATGCTTAGTATAGCCCCTTTGCATTCCGGCTTGTTGGCCTTAAGTATGTGCATGTGTAGCATGACATCTTTGCATTGATTTGGTGATTTGGGGCCGCCCTACATGTTATTTCAGTCCCATTTTGATGCCTATGTGTTTGCCTTGAATGCTTCTTTAATGCTTTGCAAGCATGTGTAGCATGTTCCTTGTTTTGGCCATAGTGCATGCTTTGAATTTGAGCCACTTAGATGGCATCTAGGGAGTCCCCTTTGCATGGTCTGGGTCTGCCTTGAACTTATTTTAAGCCCCCTTGGCCTTGTGAGGCTTGGTTGGCTTGGCCATGGTTCAAGCCCCTTTGACTTGCTTCAAGCACTTAGGCCATTTGTTGCATGTTTAGCTTGATTTGTTGCTTGGTTTGGCTCCATGTCTAACACGGTTTTCAATGCTTATGTCGCATGCTATATGTCCATGATTACCTTCTTTCAAATGTATTTGAGAGTTGTTCAATTTGTGCCTAAGTATTGGCCTTCCAACATGTGTATGTGTGCATGTGTATTTGGTCCCTCATTATAGCACTTTGGCCCTTGTTTTAGGCCTTATTAGAGCTGCCTAAACCATACCTAAGTCCATCTTGACATTGATTGGCATTGTCTCATGTTTGCTTGTATGCTTGCATAAATGTCTTGCCATGCCATGTTGCATCTTTAGCTTGCATGTCTAGGTTGCATTGCATCTTGCATGCATGCCTTGTTCCTTGACTTGGTGATAGGAATTGGGCCTTAGTTTGTTTGATTGGTTTGCATTTCATTTGACATGAAAATTGCACACTTGATTCTTTAGGCCATCATGCATGGAAATGCGTGATTGGTGGTCCGAGAATCGAGGCACATGCCCCTTTGAGTCATTACCATGATAAGGGACATGGTTGGTGCATACATGCCTTGAATTGTGCTGCCATGCTTTGCCTTGCCCTCTGTTGCTGTGAGTTGCAGGTTCTGCAGGAGCACTTTGCCGACCGGCAGTGTCAAGTGCCGACCGGCAATGATTTCTCTGCCGACAGCTTCATTTTGTGTCGGTGGCCACATCCTACTACCGGTGGCAATTTCATGCAGCCGGTGATGTCTCCCAGCACCCAAGGATACAGTCCTGAGGTTTTGGTAGCCTCCCGAGGAGTAAAGGAAGGAAAACAGAGGCAGCCCATGCATGGCGGTGCGCTTCCCGAGGCGGTTTACTGTTTTTCTAAGCTTTAGTTAATTTGCTTAGTTGATTAGTCAATTTGTAATATTTAATTAGCTTGCGTAGTTAATTAATTTGTAATATTTATTCGGTCCCTCCGGGCGAGGGCAAATCTGTAATAAGTGTGTGTGAGTGGTGTATGTCTTCCAATCCCCACTTCTTTCTTCCCTTTTACTTACCTGCTTTGGTGGTTAGTATTAGGGCACGTTTAATTTATGCATGCGTGCATTCATGCATTTGTATTACATGCATTAGGCTCGGTACATCACGCTAAACCGCATTTCTACTTCAAATTCTAAACTGAATATGTGATAGTTGTGCATTCTCACATGCCATGTTTAGGATAGCCGAGCCTATTCTAGCAACACTTTGTATGCGATGCATTAGGCACTTAACATGGACTTGGATCATGCATGTTTGCTAACAAGTTCTTTGTTTTGGCACGGAGTACGATGTAAGTATTTCCGCTTTAGCATATCGCATGAATGTGAATGTTGCCATGACAACATGCTTAACAGGTGGCTAGATGCTTATGTGTTAAACTGTTTTGAATGCCTGTGGGTGAAGGTTGGATTGTTTGAGTTGGAAAAACTCGTTGAAATCCGTATTTTAGCCTACTTGCGAGTAGCAAATTCCAAAGCATTTTCAAACCAAACGGATATGCAATGTTTATTTCCAAATTAGGCAATCTAGTCTATACTTGTTTGCTGTGCGCATAACATAGTAATTCTAGGCTAATAAATGGAATAAGAACACGTAAAGTTTTCAAAAACGGATATCACGGTTAGTAGAGGCCGGTCTTCGGACCGGGCGAAAGGGGGTGCTCATAGCTGACCTTCCCCGATCGTACCCAAACTCCCGAGCCGAGACAACTCCGGTGATGACGAACATGTGGCCTTCGGCACCGAGTCAGGGTTTCCTAAATTCCCCATAAAAAATATTTAGGTGGCAACTCTGTATCTGGCAAAGCAGTCCATGTTTGGCACTACTTTTTCAAAAATCTGTTTCTCAAAACGATTTGCCAAATTTGGACTCTTTGGTTCAGATTAAGAACCGTGACACAAATCGAGTCCGAAACTGTAGTAACCCAAAATGAAAAGAACGGAGCTCACCCTCCCGGGGGCGTTCGGGGATGTCTACAGTTTCTGGCGACTCTGCTGGGGATTTTTAGAGAGCTTGACTCGAACTCGTGATATCCCGTTTTGATTTCGTTTTGTGTTTCTTTGCATTGCATGTGCATATGGTGCGCCTAGGAACACAGTGTTTGCCATCTGCCATTCCTGAACGGTTTGCCGGAGGCTTTGTCTTGTCAAGGCATGACCATAAGGCTGACCGGCTATAGGCTCTGACAGTATGGGAAATAAACCCCCGGTTTTACGCGGGCACCCTTTTCGACCATTCGGCCTAGTGCATATTCGGATCCATAGTGACCATTCCAAGCTAAGGACAGGTTGCTTACCCCGTTTATAGGTTTGTTTGAAACCGCTGTGTGGTTAGTGAAACGTAGCTTCCTGACAAAATAGGACAGGGAAACCCTACCCCAACATAGGGGTGTTTTGGCTCTTTTTACTTGCTATGTGCTTTTAGAGTGTATCTCTACAGGAACGTACATATCAGTTTGCAAGTCTGG